CTATTCTTTTACTTGTTATGTAGTGTGAATGCAAATAAATAATAATTTTGAATAGAATTGTAAATCATAATCATTGCGTTTAAATTTGCCCACCAGTGACTTGTTATCTTCGTTATATTGATAAAGATTAAAATTAATTTTAAAAAAGTTGTTAAAATTAAAACGAGTCAAAAACTTGTTAAACAAATTCAAAAATCTTAGTCAGAAACGTACTAAGCAAGTGTTACTATGTAATTTTAATTTTATTGCAAAAATTATTAAGTGTACCTACGTGATAGAATTATTTTTAATTTTATTACAAAAGGAATGAAGTGTACCAAGAAGTTCCACTTTTAATGCAATACGACAAAATGGTAATAAGGAAAATAAAAGTTGGATGTAAACTTAAACAATATGCAGCAGCAGGTAATAACTTTAGTTGATTGTACTTTTGTACAGTAACTAATTGTCGTTCATAATTCTGAGCCTCAAAAGGTGGTTAAATTTCATGCTATTGATGTCTGGGTCAGTTTCAGAAGGCGATGTCCGCAATAAAAAAGAAAATTTAACATAAAATCGTCCAGAAATGAAACAGTAAAGAATGATTTCATTGATTAGGCTGAACATATCTTTCTCTCTTCTTTACTTTAATATATATTTGTTTAGCAATAACAACAGTACTTTTCTAAACGCATAATTAATTAGAAAAATACACTAAGAGATATGACAGTCGCAAAAATGATGATTAACTTGAAATTAAGAAGTCAAATACAGCAATATGCTGTTGCAGATAAATACTAAATCAAGATCCTATAAATTATGTAAAAACTACAATACTGAAAGTAGTCAAACGTTCGGCGGTTTGTAGATCAGATTTGGAAGGCGAAATGTGTAGTAAACCTTATATCTAGTAACGCTTTACTGTCAGGCATTTTAAACAGAAATCCATCTAAGAATTAATCATTTTAAATTAATTTTAAAAGTGCTGAAATTACTTAACGTGAATGTGAAAATAAGTAGCAGAACAACCCTGTTTTAATTCAATAATTTACTGCCGTCTTCGCCTTCTTAATTTAACCGAGGCACATGTATTCAAATTTAGAACAAATTTTCTTTCAGCTTGTGTTGGAAGTGTTTATGCTGGCATGTCATACACTTGGTCGTCTCCTGTTATTCCTCAGTTGGAACACGGTGATGGACCTTTCACTATAACAACAGAAGAAGCTTCCTGGATAGGTTCAATTATAGCTTTTGGTGCTGGTTTCTTAGCAGTACCATCTGGTTATTTAGCGGACCGCTTTGGTAGAAAAACATGCACGTTAATTCTGACATTACCAATCATTGTTTTTATCATACTCGTCTACGTGGGAAATAACATTTATTATATCTATGCTGGAAGAATTTTTTCTGGATTCGCAACGGGTGGATTATCAGCAGTGGCGCCGGTTTACTTGACAGAAATTGCAGAAGTAAAAGTGAGGGCTTCTTTGAACAGCTTCTTTCAAGCATTGATTTACTGTGGAAGCTTTTGTAACGCGGTTTTTGGAAAGTATTTGGACTACAAATCGTTCACGCTCATCTCAAACGGCCTGGGGATAATTCTGATATTTGGATTCGTCTTTTTCCCTGAAAGCCCGACATTTCTTATGATGAAAGATGAAGGCAAAAGTAAAGGTTAAATTTTGGAGTATTTGGAGTTCCAAAGTTGCCAAACGTAGTCTTCTGGCATGTCTTGGAATCGTCTTCTTCCAAACTTGTACTGGAATTGACGTTTTCCTTTATTATTCCGTGTCCATCTTCGAATTGGCCGGAACAAACATGGATCCATACACTAGCTCAATTGTGGTGGCTTCCTCCCAAGTTATTTCCACATTTCTGGCCGTCAACATTATTGAAAAGTTGAACAGGAAAACATTCCTTTACATATCCACTGCTGGTATAGGTACGATGTTGCTACTGTTGGGAATGTTTTTCCATCTCAAAGAACTCGGTTTTGACTCGACTATTCTTAATGTCATACCATTAATATCAACTGTTCTATTCTTCGTTTTTTTTTTTGTTGGACTCGGCCCAATACCGTGGTTGGTGCCTGGAGAACTGCTACCAGTGGAAATCAAAGGGCCTGCAAGCGGTCTTACAGTCACGTTAGGGTATTTTATAGCATTTCTTCTCACAAAAACGTTCCCACTAATGATTGAAATGTTCGACCCTCAATACACTTTCTATATGTACGCCATCTTTATGGCACTGTGTATAGTATTCACGAAATTTTGTATCCCAGAAACCAAAGGAAAGACGCTTCAAGAAATTCAAGAGCTGCTGAGCAGATAATACAAATTGGTAGATACTTTCGTGGCCAGTCGTGTCTTGGAGTTGCTTCCTAACGTTTCGCTAATACGAGTGGCGGGCATCTTTAGAGGTATTTCTGTCACCAATCCGCATCCAGCATCCCACCAAACGGCATGGCCTAGAGGTCTTGACCGTTACTCAGCATTCGGGAGGACGCCAGGTTCGATTCCGGGATCGTCTGCCTTGGTCCAAGTTTTTCTGTGGTTTTCTTAGATCACATAGGCAAATGCTGGGGCAGTTATATTCCATTGATAATCTTTCATTCTCTTCTGTCTTCATTTCGTTCGTTTCATCTTTCTCACCCGAACCACCACCCACCCATTCCCACGATTCCTGAAAGGAGGCTGAAGAGGGTCTTTCGCCCTACCTTCCGGCGTAGTCCGGAGGGACTTCCCGTCCACCAGCATTACTAGCCGTTGAGAATGAAACACCCAAAAGTTTTTATCCAGCATCGCAGATGGAAAGATCTCTGAAGAAGTTAGCCTCTCGTGCCAGCGAAACGTTAGAAAGTAACTGCAACTAACGACGACCTTAAGACCCAAATCAGTTGAGCAAATAACCCAATTTTTGATTTTTAGTTACATTAAAAATTGTAAGTTATTTATTTAAGTTGTATCTTTGTAAATAATGAAAAATAAATATTTTTGACGTCTTATAATTCGATGGAGCCGGCTGCACGCACGAAAAAACATGACTCATGCGGCGTTACCTCGCTCTGAGGCGTTCCATTTAAGGCTTGAAGTGCAAGCGAGAGCGCGGAACGAGCGACAAAGAGGCACAATCGGCCTCCGCGTTCGGCAGCGTTCGACATCTGTCTCTCTCCTACTTGAGTGAGCGATGCGTCCGCGTGGACAGCTGCTATACAATAATACATTTCCATTTACCTCCTTCTCTATATCCATACAAAATATCTATCAAACAAATAAAATTAAAATTTTCTTTTGAAAAATGAAACCATTCCATCAGTATTTTCTTATGACGTTGTCACGTTCAACTATCGTCAGTAAACCGACTTTACAGACAAACGATTTTTTAGTTTAATTTATTACATTATATTAATTGGAAAATTCATTCTCAATTTTTTCCAATATAATGGAAAACTACAGTCAGAATGAATTTTCAAATTAATTACCCCAAGCTAATCGTCATGACGCCAAATATACAATTAATAAAATTATAAATGTAACATAATACAAAATGCATTTTAAATGAATGTGCTATGTAAGCAACCCTCTTTTAGATAAGCATTTCAGAATGTCGAAATGTATGTATTTGCATTTCTTCAGTTATAAACCAGTCCCAAATTGCACCCTAACCCTTGAACATAAAACGTGTGTCATATAATAGGTGATGATAGTTTAATGAGTTAATTGACTTGACACTCATTTGCTGAAAATCTGTACTAAACACGAAAACTACTTAGGCATTTCCACTAAACTTTTTTTATTAGTTTTGCAACCAAACAAAGCTCATAACGTTTACTTCGGCAAACAAGCTTGCTATTTAAGGCTAAGTTATTGTTTTAATACTTATCATAATCGTAGGTCTTCAGTTGGAGAACTGGTAGCAGAGCAACCTAGCAGGTACATCTCCATCTCTTTGCTATCAATAATCTAATTTAGATTCTACTACCTCGTCTATTTAACAGTGACTTTATGACCTTCTCTGTCCTCCCACCCTTTCTAATAGCTTCTCATCTATCCACGTTTTTTTAATATCTTCCTATTACATCACATTCCCAAATACTTCTACCTTTTTCTATTATGCAAGGCACACCGTCCATGTTCCACGTCCACACGCAGAGTCGTGCTTCAATTATAGAAATATATTTCTACACTACCAATATTATCACACTCGTTGATAACCACGTAAATAACTAATTAATAATAAAAATACATCAAGAACAACTTAAGCCACTAGTTTAAAAACAAACAGTGCGAATCCGGGAAACTCGTAGAAATGATGATCAGCTTCAAATTAACGAGTCAAATAAAACAATATGCTGCTGCAGGTAAGGAGTGAATCACAATAATTAAAATATTATGAACGTATTATAATACTAACAGTGGTCAAACGTTCTACCGCTTCTGGATCAATTTGGGAAGGCGAAATGGGTAATAAATCTTCTAGTGTCATGCATTTTGAACATCACCCATCTAATAACAAATAACCCAATATGAAATTAACATTGAAAGTGCTGAATTTGGTCATCAAGCTTGTGAAAATGAGTAGCAGAACAACCCTGTCTTAATTCAATTATTTACTGCCGTTTTCGCCTTCTTAATTTAACCGAGGCATATGTATTCAATTTTAGAACAAATTTTCTTTCAGCTTGTGTTGGAAGTGTATATACGGGCATGTCATACACTTGGTCGTCGCCTGTTATTCCTCAGTTGGAACACGGTGATGGACCTTTCACTATAACAACAGAAGAAGCTTCCTGGATAGGTTCAATTATAGCTTTTGGTGCTGGTCTCTTAGCAGTACCATCTGGTTATTTAGCGGACCGCTTTGGTAGAAAAAGGTGCACGTTAATTCTGACATTACCAATCATTATTTTTATCATACTCGTCTACGTGGGAAATAACGTTTATTATATCTATGCTGGAAGAATTTTTTCTGGATTCGCAACGGGTGGATTATCAGCAGTGGCTCCGGTTTACTTGACAGAAATTGCAGAAGTAAAAGTGAGGGCTCCTTTGAACAGCTTCTTTCAAGCATTGATTTACTGTGGAAGCTTTTGTAACGCGGTTTTTGGAAAGTATTTGGACTACAAATCGTTCACGCTCATCTCAAACGCCCTGGGGATAATTCTGATATTTGGATTCGTTTTTTTCCCTGAAAGCCCGACATTTCTTATGATGAAAAATGACAGGACAGGAGCTGAGAATGCTCTGAAATTTTACAGAGATGATCACACCAACATCAAAGTAGAACTGGACGCTATATCAAAAGAACTGGAGATGAAGGCAAAAGTAAAGGTTAAATTTTGGAGTATTTGGAGTTCCAAAGTTGCCAAACGAAGTCTTCTAGCATGTCTTGGAATCATCTTCTTCCAAATTTGTACTGGAATTGACGTTTTGCTCCATTATTCCGTGTCCATCTTCGAAATAGCTGGCTCAAACATGGATCCATACACTAGCTCAATTGTGGTGGCTTCAGCCCAAGTTCTTTCCACTTTTTTGGCAGTCAACATTATTGAAAAGTTTAAGAGAAAGACATTCATTTACATATCAGCTGCTGGTACAGGTATCATGATGATATTGTTGGGGATGTTTTTCCATCTCAAAGGTCTTGGCATTGACTCGGCCTTTCTTAATTTCATACCATTACTATCAACTGTTCTCTTTTTCGTGTTCTTTTTTGTTGGACTCGGCCCGTTACCATGGCTGGTGGTTGGAGAACTGCTACCAGTGGAAATCAAGGGACCAGCAAGCGGTCTCACAATCTTATTTGGATATCTTGCAACGTTTTTTTTCTCAAAAACTTTCCCATTAATGATAAAAATGTTCGAGCCTCAGTATACTTTCTACACGTATGCTATATCCATGGTACTATGTATAATATTTACGAAATTTTGTATCCCAGAAACAAAAGGAAAAACGCTTCAAGAAATTCAAGAGAAACTAGACAGTTTATAATTTCATATTCTTCTCTGTAACTTTTCTGCGTTCGAGAAAATCAAAACAAAGCTACGAGTTATCTCCTAAATCATGCATAGCAATTTATACTAAAACTTCAGTAGTTATTGAAATAATACAGCCATCTACTGCTTAAAAGGTAAAACAGAGCAATTGAATTGTACGACATATTACGCTATAGAAGAAAACTGTAGGTGGTAACTTCCATTTTACATCACCCCTCTTCATCCTCGTTATACTTTTGCGATTATTTTTCAATAAACAATTTTTCACGAACAATTCTTCTTTTTATTTTTTTATAAACAATTGATGAATTTCTAAGGAGACAGTTCTGTTATAATTATTATTATCGTCGTTACCACTTTTATCATTATTAAACCTTTGGTAGCTGCTTTGATATGTTTACACCAAATTTATGACTTAAAAGCGACTTTTGAATGACTGTGTAAATAACAAAGTAAACATTAATGCTAGCTAGCGCCTACCAAACACTTATCTCTATTTTACGTAATTGAAATTAGTGTGCAAGTCGCGTTCGTCGAAACCAACCCATTGAAACAATCAGAGAAACGAAATTATGATTTTAAACATCAAACTTCAAACCAAATTGAAGCAATATGGTGCAGCCGGTAAGAAAAACAACTATGTAGCACGTACCTACTTTCTTGTAATAAAAATATAACAAATTTTAGTCTGTGTGGGAAGTGTCCTTATAGGAATGTCGTTCACGTGGTCGTCCCCCGTGATTGCCCAGTTGGAGCATGGTAATGGTTCTTTCAACATAACAACTGAAGAAGCTTCATGGATAGGGTCGTGCATGGCTTTCGGTGCAGCAGTTTCTGCAGTCCCGTTGGGGTATCTGGCCGATCGATTTGGTCGAAAAAAGTGCACACTTGTTCTAACAATTCCGGTTGTCCTTTTTACAGCGCTTGCATACATCGGAAGCAACGTTTATTACATTTACATCGGCAGAGTGTTTTCCGGACTTGGAACTGGTGGTATGTCAGCTATAGCACCCCGGTACATGTCCGAGATAGCCGATGTCAAAGTACGAGCGTCATTGAACAGTTTGTTTCAAGCCCTTATTTACTGTGGCAGTTTGTACAATGCGGTTTTGGGAAAGTATTTGGACTACAGAACGTTCACAATTGTGTCCAACGGAGTGGGTCTAGTACTGGTGATGGGTTTCCTGTTCTTTCCGGAAAGTCCGACGTTTTTAATGATGAAGAATGACACAGCTGGAGCGGAGAAAGCCTTGAGGTTTTTTAGACACAACCAAGACAATGTCAAACAAGAATTGGATGAGATATTGAGAAACACTGAGACCAGGAAAAAGACCAAAACCAGCTTTTGGGTGGTATGCAAGTCCAAAGCTGCCACAAGGAGTCTTGTTGCGACTTTAGGCATAATAATTTTCCAAGTTCTGAGTGGTGTCGACGTTTTGCTCTACTACGCGGTTTCCATCTTCGAAATGACCGGTTCCAATTTCGACCCGTTTACCTGCTCCATTATACTGTCTTCAACGCAAATACTATCGACCCTTTTGGCAGTTAATATTATAGAAAGGTTTAATAGGAAAACATTCCTTTACATATCTACTGTTGGGGTTTGCATGTCGCTGATATTGTTGGGAATATTTTTTCAGTTGAAACAACTAGGTTTCGATTCATCTGTGCTCAATATCGTACCAATGGTATCAACGATATTGTTCTTTGTATTTTATCTTATCGGTCTCGGACCAATACCGTGGCTGATGCCAGGTGAATTGTATCCAGTCGAAATCAAAGGACCGGCGAGTGGTTTAACGATAACTGTTTGCTGGGCTATGGTTTTTGCCGTAACAAAAACGTTCCTTCTAACTGTAGAAGCTTACCCACCTCAATACACCTTCTATTTTTATAGTTTTTTTATGATATTGTGCCTAGTGTTTACTAGATATTTTATGCCCGAAACAAAAGGGAAAACCCTGCAAGAAATCCAAGATGAATTAAGTCGATAAACCCCCAAATGATCTGCCTTTTTTCAATCTTTATAATTTTATCAAGATCATCAGTACTATTAGAAAGGGTAGGACAAGTCGATAAGAAATAGGCGAAATAGAGATGTCAGACAGGAATTGCAGCGAATACTAATAGAGAAAAGGGAATAACATTACACCAATTAATGTGTAACAGAAACAGATGCAGACATAAAGTCGTCAAACTGGTCGAGCACGCACTTCCACTCTTTCCTATCCTGAGCTAATCTTCGCAAACTAGGGCAACCCATATCCTTAACTATTTGCAAACAGTAATCTAATCTAGGTCTACCTCTACCCCTCTTAACTCCCGTTTATGCCTCTAACATGTCTCTAACTAGACCTTCATGCTTGAGAAGGTGTCCTACCAACTTATCTCACCTATTTCTTATTGACTTCCACAGAGTCCTCTGTTCTCCTGTTCTTTCTAATATCTCTTCATTCCTAACCTTCTCTATCCACGGTATCCTCATCATCCTCCTATAACACCACATTTCGAACGCTTCTAACCTTTTCTTTTCCGCCGCGCTCACCGTCCATGTTTCTTTAGTACGTTTACCGATTAAATTCAAATTTTCTTAAAAGTCTCGTTGATGTTACAGCTTCATTTTAATTTCAATCAAAAGACAGCAAAATATTATATATAAATATAAATTAAGAAGCCACTAAAATGGTAACCAGGCATAGACGCAAACAATGACTACAATTACTTCATGAAACATTTCCAACGAACAATAAGAAGAAATACAATGACGCCATCAATTTTGAAGTGCCAGATTTAATTATTTAATTAGAGACAACGTTTAGCGAATGGTTTTAAACAATTAACAAGGATGCGCAGTTACAAAGTTTTAATAATCAAGATGAGTTTGTACAATAAATATTTTTAATTGAGATCCAAGGATTACTATATCCAAAAATAGATTGGATTAAGGTATAAATTTAATTTGTACATACCTATTGTTTCATGACTTTCTACTGTTTAATGTTCTAATTAAAATTATGTTTTATTGTAATAAATATAATTGGTTACGGTTTACCTATATCAACTTGAGTGTATCGGCGAACAAAAAACAAAAGAGAAACAAAAATTTTATGTCCCTTAATTATATTATTACTCTGTTATTAGAATAATATATAATATTTTTGTTTTTTTAACTTAAAAGAATTTTGACATTCATTATGGAAAGCAGTCAGCAGAACACCAACAACTAAAGAAAAAATACAGCATTGTTTTTCGATTGATCGAGTATCATTTGATGTGAGATATGATTAAAAATCAATAAGTTCATTAAATTTAAAATCACCCTTTGTAAACCATTTTTTTAGTTTCATTTAACTGATTAAACTCAATCTACATACAAGGATGCGTTTTTAAGTTCGCAGAATGGGTAGGTAGATCATTAGTAAGGGTACTTACTTGAGTCATTACGAATTAAGCAACTCATTATTAGTATAAATACCAAGTTTTACAGTAATTAGGTCAGTAGTCTTTGAACTATCGTCAACGAAACAAGTCAATCGGGAACAAATTGTGAAATATGAAGAAAATCGAGTATCGCGCTGTTATAAAGTTCCTTGCCAAGCAAGGAAAATCAGATCAAACCATACTGGAAGAGATGTCATCCGTTTACGAAAACTCTTGCCCAGGTAAAACCATGGCTTACAAATGGAATATCCTCTTTAATCAAGTCAGGGACTCGCTTGAAGACGACCCACGGCCGGCCTGGCCGATCGAGGTGACCACTCATGAAATCATTCAAAAAGTGAAAAAATAATACTGGAAAATGCCCGACTCAAGAAGAAACAGCCACCAGAAATGATAGGAGTATCAGATGTAACCATTTTTAAAATTCTTCACGATCATCTTGGCATGACTAAAGTCACTGCGCCTCAAAAACAACAGCGTGTGGAATGTTCTCAAGCGTTTTTGGACCTCTATATTGAAGACAAAAATGGAGTATTAACTTGAATTGTTACTGAGGACTAAACTTGGGTTCATCATTGTGAACCTGAGTACAAACAGGACTCTATGCAGTGGCAGAAAGAAGACACACCACCGCCCAAGAAGTTTAAGGTGTCACAGTCGGCTGGGAAAACTATGGCGACAGTCTTTTGTGACTTAGAAGGGATCCTGTTGATCGATTATAATGATAAAGGTGTCTCCATAACCGAAGAATACTATGCTTCAATCCTAGAGCGGTTAAAGGAAGCAGTCAAAGGAAAAAGGATGATGAAAGTTGACCAAAGGTGTCCTCTTTCTGTTCGCAAGAGCCTTGTTGTGATGGCTGCCCTGCAGAAGGAGGGCTTCGAAATTTTGGCTCATCCACCCTATAGTCTTGACTTAGCTCCCAGCGATTATTACCTATTCCCAAACTTGAAAAAAGTCCTCGTGGGAAGAAATTTTTAAGCGACGAAGAAGTGAAGAACGCAGTTTCGACGTATTTTTCAGACAAAGGAAAAACTTTCTTTTTTTTTTCGAAGGCATATGTAAGTTAACTATAAGATAGGAAAAGTGTATAATGGTAGCAAGTGAATATATTGAAATGAAGAAATAAATTCGTACTTTTATTTCCACTTCTTAACCCCCATTCCGCGAAACTTAAAAACGCCTCCTCGTATAAGTATCGGGTTGTTCGGAAAGTCATTTCGTTTTTTCCCGACAGAGGATTTAATTGTATTCATTTGCACCCAACTTCACATTTAAGCCGTGTAATTTTTATATGCTTTGAGAGCTCATATAGCAAGGCTTGTGTGTGAAAGATTCCAATTAATTCTACGCAGTAGTTTTTGGTTGGTGCCCTTTTAAATATGGAGAGCGATAAGCAGCATTTACGACATATCTTACTGTTTTACTACAGAAAGGGTAAAAATGCTGTTCA